TTATAGAGACTCACGAGTAGTATGTTACACCTTCATCTCCAACACATAATAAATCATATTGCTGGTAGTGGACGTGTAAAGCCTCTGTCAGTCTGTCACTAAGTGTCATATTAACTCTCTCAGCTCCCCCGCTCCCTTGTCATACTATCGATTTTTGATGATCTCTCCCCCTTATCTGGGGAAAAAAACCCCTGAGATCGTGATCATGCATGATAAAGTTTTGTAAAAAAGCATGTTGATAAAAAAAGTCGATATTTGTCAGAGGTGAACACTGTTTAATTGGCATATTTGTACCGGTTCAATAACATCCATCGATATAACTATACCTTATCCTAGTAGTCTCAATCACGTTCGCATAATTAGTTTTGGTCAAATATACAGCTGATAAGGCACGTTGAAATAGTTTCCTTTACACCGGGACTTTTGTGCCAGATGAGCGTTTCACAGCACGTGAGCCACTCTCATTCACAAACTTGAAATATCCTATTTCACCCGTAGGTCCAAAGGATACTTCGTGCATACTGTATAAATATAGCATATACATTAATATACACTATATTCCAGTATGAGTACCACCGTTAAAATTACACAAGAAAGGAGAGGTTCCAGAAGCGTAGCACGTGAAGATGATAGTATAGAAGTGCCTAAGCGGGCATCCTACTTCAAATATGCACCGCTAGACCATGCTGTCTCGGGGTTGGGTGCAGGTTTTACTACCACAGCCATTCTGCACCCTTTAGACCTCATCAAGACTCGTCTTCAGGGTATGTATTTGAGTGTGTTTGTATGAATTCGAGTGTACCTGCATCTATTCAATGTGCGTGTGTGTATGTGTGTCGTTTTTTTGTTCTACCTGCAAGTTGCACTGCAACATATTTTTATACTGATTATCTCTGGTGGTTGCTTTCAGCCTTTATTCGTAGGCAGTGTTTTAAACGTGCACCAACATTTTATTTAGTTTGTGGTGTATATGCCAGGTTCAATGGGTAACCTCATTGACATCTTAGTCAACGTTTGCGCACATAGATCGTCGATATACCTTTACAATATATTCCGCACGATTGTATAGTCGCAATAAATACGTACACTTCATGATTTGCAAGTATATTCCAGATTTGCTAAGCGCGAAGGTGTGCCTGAATACCCTGTATTCATATGTAACCAGTATTTGGCGACTTCTCCGAGCTATTCGTGCACGGATATATATATACTTGTATGCTGCATCGTTGTATATCTCGGTCGTATGTACATCTCAATTTAAATAATGTAGATGCTCATTTGTTGCTCATTTGTATATTGACGTATTCAAACATTGACGTGTATATGCATAAATAGACGATATTATATATAAATATATATATATATATGTGTGTGTGTGTGTGTGTGTGTGTGTGTGTATGATATTTGCGTGTGTGTGTATGTGTGTGCGTCTATATATTTGATATATACGTACATGTTTATGCTCATAATAGTTCATGTATGTTCACATATCTATCCATGTATATATAAATACATACAAGTATATGTGTGTAAGCAATATTCATAAATTTATGTTCGTATTATATATATATGTATATATATAGCATGTATATATATATGCATATATATATATATGTATATGTATATGTATATGTATGTGTGTGGGGGGTATGTATATATATATATAGTGTATGTGGATATATATATATTATATGGTGTATGTGTATGTATATGTATATGTACATATATATTCTA